TGTTAGCCAGGATGGTCTCGATCTCCTGACCTCGTGATCCACCCACCTCGGCCTCCCAAAGTGCTGGGATTACAGGCGTGAGCCACTGCGCCCGGCCAAGATATCTTTTCTCTAACGTGTCAAAGTCCATTATTAAGTAACAGCTTCATTTGTGAATGCTCTCACCTTTATTTCTCTCAATGTACCCGTGATACAGATATTTCATATGTAACAAAGTTAAGGACGTGTGCACATGTAAAACAGAGGTAGAACCATGGCTGAAACATCTAGCCTAGCAGTGAACTCATTATCCCTGAGGAGTGGGGGCGGGGGAGAAGAGGAGTCACAGGCAGTTCACCAACACCTGGAAAATCAACGACTTCGTGGAGAATGAACGACTCTGGGGAGATTCAGATCATGAAGTCATGAGAAGAAGGTCTTTTTTTCCAGGGATCATGTTTCTCAGTATCAATAATCAGTTGTGGGTTGTTTTCTTCTATTTCTTCCAGCAGCTTATGGAGTTCATCATTAAAGTCATCTATTTTCAACCTGGGGTACAATGGGGGAGGAAAAGGTTACTTTGTGTATCAAGAAGATTTTTCAAATTCCCAAGTACCTGAAATTCTGTTGAGGTCACCTTTCCTGATTATTCTAGGTGGCAAAGGAGTGTTCCATATTGATTTTGTTTTTTTCTTTGAGACAGTCTGTTGCCCAGGATAGAGTGCAGTGGCACCATCTCAGCTCACCGCAACCTGTGCCTCTAGGGTTCAAGCCATCCTATCCTCTGCCTCCTGAGTAGCTGGGACTACAGGCGCCTGCCACCATGCTCAGCTAATCTTGTATTTTTAATAGAGTTGGGGTTTTACCACGTTGCCTAGACCGCACCTGGCCTGATTGCTTATTTATTTTTCAATATAAAATGAGGCCAGATGTGGTGGGTCATGCCTATAATGCCAGCACTTTGAAAGAGTGAGGGGGGCAGATCACTTGAGGTCAGGAGTTTGAGACCAGCCTAGGCAAGATGGTGAAAGATCCATCTCTACTAAAAATATAAAAGTTAGCTAGGTGTGATGGTGCATGCCTATAGTCCCAGCTACTCAGGAGGCTGAGACAAAAGAATCACTTGAACCTGGGAGGTGGATGTTACAGTGAGCCGAGATCGGGCCACTGCACTCCAGCCTGAGCAACAGAGTGAGATTTTTGTCTCAAAAATAAATAATAAAATGCAAAATTAAAGACTTTCATTTATCTTTTTAATCCTTTTTTTCATTCCTCTTATTCTCAACCATGTTGATCTGATAGAGAAAAACGTAACATCAGGTTAACCTTGTAATGGTATCAAGCCACTGTGTATTTTTAGACTCTTGTTTATCATGCACAGAAAATCCAATTGCTGAGTGTGGCTGGGTTGTAGCTCTAATACCTGCCTACCTGCTCCATCACCCACTTTGGCAACTTCTACTCAGTGGACCCAAGAGTACCAGGTTAAACAGAGGAGATGCAGGCCAGGCGCGGTGGCTCACGCCTGTAATCCCAGCACTTTGGGAGGCTGAGGCAGGCGGGTCACCTGAAGTCGGGAGTTCGAGACCAGCCTGACCAACAGGGAGCAACCCCGTCTCTACTAAAAATACAAAATGAGCCAGACGTGGTACACATGCCTGTAGTCCCAGCTACTTGGGAGGCTGAGGGAGGAGAACTGCTTGAACCCGGGAGGCGGAGGTTGCAGTGAGCTGAGATCGCACCATTGAACTCCAGGCTGGGCAACAAGGGCAAAACTCCGTCTCCAAAAAATAAACTCAAAGCTTAAAAAGCCCTTAACGTCATATGTCTTTTGATCTGCAAAGTATCTTAGGCTGAGATTCATGTTAAGTAAACAAGTAATCTATGTTTCTTCTACATAAAGATTATTTTAAGCCAACAGTAGACTATATTGCTTGTGAGAATTTCTGGAAGTTCCCACACTTCTAGGAAGGGGCTCTTGGTTCTTGATGCCATGGTATTGAAATACAACTCAGGCTGGGTGCAGTGGCTCATGCCTGTAATCCTAGCACTTTGGGACGCTGAGGTGGGTGAACCACCAAGGTCAGGAGTTCGAGGCCAACATGGCAAAACCTGTCTCTCCTAAAGATACAAAAATTAGCTATGTGTGGTGGTGTATGCCTGTAATCCCAGCTACATGGGAGGCTGAGGCATGAGAATAGCCTGAACCTGGGAGGCGGAGGTTGCAGTTAGCTGAGATACTACACCACTATACCCCAGCCTGGGCAACAGAGCGAGACTCCATCTCAGAAAACAAAACAAAACCCAAAACCCCAACAAAACCCAACAAACAAAACACAATCCAATGACAACTGGCTCTCGTGAGCAGGTAGACAAGCAGCCATGGCTGGGTGCAATGGTTCATGCTTACAAACCTGGCTACTCAGGAACTGAGGTAGGAGGATTGCTTGAGCCCAGGAACTGGAGTGAGCCATCACTGTGCTGCTGGACTCCAGCCTGGGGAACACAGCGAGTTCTTGCCTCCAAGGAAAAAAAAGGGCTGGGTGCAGCGGTTCACGCCTGTAATCCCAGCACTTTGGGAGACCGAGGCGGGTGGATCACCTGAGGTCAGGAGTTCGAGACCAGCCTGGCCAACATGGTGAAAGCCCGTCTCTACTAAAAATACAGAATTAGCCGGGTGTGGTGGCGGGAACCTGTAATTCCAGCTACCGCATCAGTCTCCTATAGCAGGTTCGCGTCATTATGTTTCCCCTAAACCTACCACCCCGGAGGAAGCCTGACGGGGAAGTAAATGGATCATACCGGAGTGTCTGGAGCGTGCCAGGACGTGTCAAGGTTTTAAACAGCATCTTCACTCCACTAGACCCCAAGGGATTCTGGCCCAGGTCCAGGGTGATGAGGCTCTGGTTGCAGCTGAGGGCAGAGCAGAGGTCTTCACAACTGAAGGGAGGGATGGAACATCCCCACAACCTGAGGAAACACAGAAATGAGCATGTTTATTCAGCTGGTGCTGATCGATGCCCTCCCATAAGCCAAGCACAGCCTCGGGGCTTGGGGACCTCCATGACCAACACAAGTCTCAGGCCGGGCGCGGTGGCTCACGCCTGTAATCCCAGCACTTTTGGAGGCCCAGGTGGGCGGATCACGAGGTCAGGAGATCGAGACCATCCTAGCTAACCTGGTGAAACCCCGTCTCTACTAAAAAATACAAAAAACTAGCCGGGCGCGGTGGCGGGCGCCTGTAGTCCCAGCTACTCGGGAGGCTGAGGCAGGGGAATGGCGTGAACCCGGGAGGCGGAGCTTGCAGTGAGCTGAGATCCGGCCACTGCACTCCAGCCTGGGCGACAAAGACTCTGTCTCAAAAAAA